CTTCGGTGTGGTTTTAATGTGTGACCACGCGCGAGGTGGCATAGCTGGTGCTGCTTTGCTTGGGAGCTCATTTGCTCCCCTTCCTGAAGTTGTTAGCAGCCATGTGGCATCCTGACATTTCATCTTTATTGACTTCTTGACAGATAGCCTTTTGGGGTTTATTGGGAGATTAATTGTTTTCAGGAAGCTCTTTGACTGTTACCAAGGTTTTAGCTTTTTTTCCCCATCCCTCCAAACAGGTGACTCTAACAAAGCACTATGAGATGTATTAAAATGCTCTGAGGAGGCCAGGAGCACCACTCTTCTCCCCTTTTCCCAGCTTCTCTACTCTTTGAGGCCCAGAGCTGAGAGCAATGAGAAGGGACCCAGTTTCGAAGAGGGCACCAGCTGCAGCCATCGCTGCAGCCACTTTAGTTAGATATTCCCTGTGGCATTTTTCCAGGAGAAAAAAAGAGCACACAAGCCTGGCTATTTTTTTCTATAGTCAATGCATGTGATTAGCGGTATTTATAAAAACTGTGCAGAAAACAGCATCTCAGGAAAAGGAAAAGTACAGGCAGATGCACTGAACTAAAGGGGAAATTAGCAGATTTTGTAGTCAGCAAAAGTGCCTGATTAAGGATTTAAAAAACAGAATTTTGCAATTTGGCCATTTTATGGGTTTCTAAAGCATGATTCAGTGATGGCTTTTGAGGCCTACTGGAAGCTATTCTGTAAATCACTGCATGTGTAGTGCCATCTGAAGATACTAGTAACATTGTCGTTGTTTTCAGAGTGGAAAGAAGGAAACTTCACCAGCAAAAATGTTAAAATGAAATAAGGGGGATGAACTCATAGTAGCCCACTCAAACCTTCCCTTGCCCTCCCTTTAAAATTTTGTGATTTCAGCATTTTCCTTTCATTGCTTATAATTTTCTATCACTGGTTTGTTAATTTTTGGATGTCTTTCCCCAAAGCAGAAGATAAGCATTTAAAAGAACATTTCCCCGTTCCTATTTACTATAAAACCAGTAGCAAATTTCTCATTTCATAACCAATTCAAGCCCAGCAATTTTGCATTAGCATAGGAATTTAAATGTCCCTTGTGCTTCTCTGCAGAACTAGATTTGCCCAGAACACCAAATGGGACTTGGAGCTTTTCACTATTAATCTGCGAGGTCAAACGCAGGTTGGCAGAATCCAAAGCGCTGTGGTGATCTCCTTGTTCAGCAGCCTGGAATATGTTTTGGAAACTGCCCAGAGTATAATGATGAGGCTATATGCACAATACTTTTCACCTGATGGCATATAGCTAGTTTATTTGTTCTATCTCTGTGGACTGCTAGAGATGTGCACAGAGATGGTTTTCCTTCCATTTGTAGATGTAGTCCTCTCAATTTAGCTGTGTTTATTTGAGATTATAAAGGGAGTCCTTGGTAGTGTCCCCCCTGTATCCATAATGTGATTGGAGTGCTCAGGGCTACCAATTCTGCGTCCACTGGAGATAATGAATATTGTAAATTAGGGGCAGTCTCTTTTGGTATATGGATGTGTAGTGCTCAGCAGAGCAGGGCATAGTAGGATGAGATTCCTCATTAGCTCTGATCAGAGAAATACATAAAAAGAATTCCACTGGGGGGAGGGTGACACTAGATGACGTCCAAACACCAGGACATGAAAAGGTGCCAGTTTCTAGCCAAGTATTTTATGCATTTTTAAAACACACAAAAGGACTTTATATATATAAATATCCACTGCTTAAGATGCCTTTCTTTGACATTAAAAGTAGTGTGTATAAATTCCTCGTTTTACCTGATAGCTTTCATTAGCTCTCCATCTGTAATCCACACCTCCTGCTAACAAGGACAGAACCACAGTACTCATTAGGACTCTCCCTTGAGAAGAAGCCGAGTGAAAAAGCCCTGGACTTGTATGCTGCAGTAGAGGGTGAAGATGTTACCAGATGAAGAATTCTTTCCAGCAGTGCTTCAGCTAGTCTCACCATGTAACTGAAGGTTTATTGTAAGCCATCACACCCCATTATTTCCCATCCAAGAGTCTGCTTTTCAGCCCCTCACTCATCTGAAGATGTACTTGCTGAGGAGAGGTGCAGAGTCAGCAGGGAAGATGGACAACATGAATAATTGAAATGGAGGTTGAGTTTCCATTTGCAACTGAAGAGAAATGATTTGCACAAAAATAGAATGAGACAGGGCGTCAGAGATGCTCCAGAAGGGTGGCTGTTACCTCTGTTGGCATTTCTGCTCTCCAGGAGGACTGTTCATGACAGGCATATTTAAATATTGGGTTTAGAATGACAACCTATCATAATATTTGGAAACACTCTGCTGCGGCTAACGCTAGAGAGATGTGTTTGGCAAAGGTAGAAACTGCTAACAAGTAGCAGCTAACTAATGAACAGGGATCTGCAGTGTGCACACATGTGAATTACCCAGTGGAAAAGTGTTTTACACAGAATATTACCTCCATAACAGAGACAAGCACTCAGAAATGAGAAAATTGAAAAATGAATGTTAGCTCTGATTTTTAATGTAGTTGTATCATTAAAGACTATCAAGTGCCATGTTCTCATAGCTTTCTTCTGTATTCAGTGTTAAGGATGGAGAGTGGTCATCTGTTCAGTACTTTGTTTTCTTCCACTGTTCAATCTTTTTTGCTTATTTTTTGCACGTTAAGCAAATCCTTTTTTGAAGAGGGGATTATTAATTTCCTCGTGACACTAACCACCCCAGCATCATCATATTTTTTCAGAGATTATTACATTTATTTTAATATACCACTCAGGCTTAAGGGACTTGTTAACACCCCCCTTTTAGAGATACAGCTTTGAGGCACAGAGATTACAAAAATCTTATTTTGGGTGCTTAAAACAAGAGAGATTTCAGAGAACTTGTCTTCTCAGAGTGCAGGGAATTATAAAATACACAAAGCATGACCGCCATAACTTTACTTGCAGCAAGGGCTCAGCACACCAATAAATCGAATCCCTGGTGTCAGTCTCCAACAAATGAGGAATTGAAATTACTGGACAGCTATGAAATGTTAGGTTGAAAAAAGCTTCACTGATACAATGAATTACTATATCACTGGCAAGAAGAGAGTCCGGTTCTCCAAAGCAGCATTCTTCTGCCTGAACTATTTGATGTTGTCGCTTTCTGCAACCTTCACTTGGTACTTTGACATCTTTCAATACCTGAAACATATAAAGCAAGCGTTCTGCAGGCAGCTCTCCTTAACAGAAAACAAACCCAGTATATCAGCAAGTCATATCGTGACTCCAACATACTGAGCAAGACAGGGATCCTGGGGAAGGAAAAAAAAGAGTATGTGGTTATGCAATTAAAGTCTGTTTCCTAATGCACTGGAGCAAGAGGACTAAATAAAGAGCAAATAGGCAGCATCAGCTCTGGTTTGTCCTAACTTTTTGATTGCTGTGGTACAATAACAATATCCCTTTCCTGTACTTTATACACACTATGCACGTCTCTAGCAGAAGAGGGAAGAAATCCCATCAGCAGTTACCACCCCGACGTGCCAGCAGCGAGGTGATAACCGCCAGGCTCACCTCAGAGCCCCTGCTGCTCCCAGCGCAGGCACGGCTGACCTGGGCAGATCTGGGGGGGATTGGGCGCTCTGCACAGCGGGTTGGTGGGTTGTGGTTGTCAGTCTAGATAAAAACCTTGTTAATCTTCAGTGTATGTATGTTCCTCCACCCACTCAATGTTGTTCTTCACCCTATAAATGACAGGTAGTATCCCTTAAGAGTCAAAATGCCAAGGACCGAGACTCAGGACAGGAACCATGCAGTGTTCTGATGGTGTGAGCTCAAACATCCCATAAGCTTCCCACACAGCAATCTGAGTCTGGGCTACCCCAGTCAACTCGACCAGGATGGGTGATGCTCAGCAGGAACCTGCAGCCCACTTCTCTTTCACTTTGAAAGTGACTGGCAATTGCCAGAGGGCCAAGATGAGGTGAAAAAGATTGTAAGATGACTGTATCTCTGTTTTTGAACAAACAGCTCATAATTAGCATTAAAAATGCATTTAGTTTTCATCACTAATGCCGTTGTTCTGGTTATTCATCACTGATGGGTGAAGAGCAGCTTCCCTTGCAGTTGTGGTGGGAGGCTGGGGCAGCACAACCCTTTGTTTCTCACTGCTGTTTCTCTGGCCAGCGACTGCGTGTTGGGATGAGGGACGTTCTCCCACCCCACCCCACTCCACCCCACCACATACCATCCCACCCTACCCTACCCTATCCCATCCCACTCCACTCCTGCCCCATCCCACCCTACCCCTATCCCATCCCATCGCATCCCACCGCTCCCCACCCCAATCCCATCCCACCAGACCCCATCCCATCCTACTCACCCCACTCCACCCGTATCACACCCCATCCCACCCCACCCCTATCCCATCCCACCCTATCCCATCGCATTGCATCCCATCCTACCGCACTGCACCCCTATCCCACCCCACCCCATTGCACCCCATCCCACTCACCCCACTCCACCCCACCACACTCCTGTCCCATCCCACCCCACTCCACACCACTGCACCCTACCCCAATCCTATCCCACCACACTCCATCCCATCCCACTCACGCCACCGCAGACCCCATCCCATGCCATCACACCCCACCCCTATCCCATCCCATCCCACCCTATCCTATCCCATCGCATCCCACTGCATCTATATCCCACCCCACCCCATTGCACCCCTTCCCATCCCACTCACCCCACCCCACTCCTATCCCACTCCACCCCTATCTCATCCCACCCCATCCCATCCCACCGCACCCCTATCCCACCCCACTGCACCCCATCTCATCCCACTCCATCCCGCTCACCCCCCCCCCACCGCACCCTATCCAATCCCATCCCACTCACCCCACCCCCACCCCACCGCACCCCACGGCCGGGCTGCCCCACCGCGGGCTCCCCCGGCTGGCCCCGCCCCGCACCCGGAGGCCCCGCCCCTCGCCCCCGCCCCGCCGGGCGTGGCGCCGCTCTCGTCCCCCGTCTCTGTCGCCGGCGCCGCTCTATCCCGCTTCCGCCAGGGCGCCGGGCGGAAGCGCGCGGAGCGGCCATGGCGGCCGTGGACATCCGAGGTAGGGCCGGGCCGGGCCGGGCCGGGCCTGGGCGCTCGGGGCTCCCCGGGCGGCGATGTGGGTGTGCGGGGCAGCGTCCGGGCGGGCCGGGGGCTGGTAGCCCTCGCCCCGGGGAGGGCCCGGGTTACCGGCCGGTGGGGTGCGAGGCTGACAGGGCTGCCGGGTCTGTTGGCGCTCCGCAGGGGCAAGGGAGCTGCCGAGTGGGTTTGCGTGTCTTTGAAGACTGTGCCCGGGAGAGTTGAGTAGCATTGCTCGTGTCTCCGCGTCATGAGAAGGAACTGGGAGGAAAAACTGTCCAAAAAGCAGTTTTCTTGGATGTGAGGCAGGCTGGGAGGGTGTGTTCAGGGCCGCCTGGGAAAACCCGGCCTCGGTTCTGGTGCGATTCTGCCTTTTCAGGTGAGGAAAGGAGGTCCTGGTGTGAGACTGTAACGCAAGGGGACAGCTGAAAAAAAAAAAAAAAAGAGTTTTATCTCGGAAGCGTGGAGGAAAGTGGGAAACACTGGGACATGTGGGACTTGTGTGAGACCAAAGCAGCGAGTTAGGCTGGTAATCTTACCAGCACTTGGGGTGGATGTGATGAGGCAGGTTAGGTGTTGGGAAAACCAGAGAGAAAGCTGGAGAAACTGAGAACATGAACAGTGAGGGTGAGAATTCAGGGATGTGACTAGAAAGTGTGTTTTGAAGAAGAAGGGGTGATATTTGAGTGAAGTGTTAATAAGGTTTACATTGTAAACAAAGCATAGGTTAAATTACTGTGAAGTGTTTGAACTTTGAGAGAGAAAGAAGGGGTTGAGGGGGCATAAGAAAGGAAATTATTTTTATCCATAAGGGTGTCTGAGTGGAAACACACTGAAAGCCTGTGTGGTGGAGTCACAGAGCATGGCCAAGAAGAGATGTTTAGGGAGAGCTCATGGGGGGTTAGTTTTGATAAAATGCAATAGAGGGTTTTTCCTCTTTTTTTCTTCAGTCTTACTTAATGATGGCTGCAGTCCTGTTTGATTTTCTGACTGCCTTGCTTCAGATTGCAGCAAGAAGCTATGTGGACAATTAATGGAGGAGTGCTGTATTAAGTTATTAGCTGGTGTGAGAACCTTCTGTTTTAATCCAGATCATTTAAGCTCCCTCAAAGTCTTTTATTTAATATGGTTCAATATGTTAAGTAGATTTTTGAGGCATACTTCTATTTTTAAGCTAACAAACTATTTTTCTCTTCCTCTCGGTTTGTCAAAACCTAGTGTTGGGTTCTCCAGCCAGCAAGGCCAAGTACAGCAAACTGTGTGAATTGCTCTCCTCTTATTTTTATCATGGTTTGCTGGATTGTCTCCCAAATTGTTTTGACATTCATGGCAGATTGGCAGTATTGTCACAAACACTTTACTTCTGCATCTGTGATGCAAATTTTGCAAAAAATGCTTTGAACAAGATGTCCCATTTTTTAAAGGAACGGGGAAGCAGGAACACCATCTTTTATCATACCCAAAAAACTCAGAAGTACTCCCTCCCTAACAGGAGTAACAGGCGTGTCAGGTTCATGGTTGGTTTTGTTCTTCCTCCCCTTTTTTTCCAAGAATAGTTTAAGAGAATAATCTTGCTAGTTATGAAGGCAATTATAAATATTGGCACTAAGCAGCTATGGACGATCGAGCCCATCTTTAGATGCAATTTTAAGGTACATTTATCAGTCTATATAAAGCATTATAGCTATATGCATATATATGAAGCTTGCCTGACATTCCACTTGAGAAATGTAGTTATTGTTAATCATAAAAGCAAGAAAAGTTTGCAAGCACTTAAGATTTTGGTTTTGTTGGGAAAGAAAGCTTGTATGTTGGTTTTGAAAGGCATTTAGGATAGTCAATGCTACCACAACTTAAGTGCTTAATAGTGGATCTTAGTGCTGTGTTCCTGAGATTCCCTTTTTTACAGTGAGGAAAGTGAATAGCGTATGTGAAATAACATTCATGCCTCTAGACTTCCCCTCCCCATTCTATGAAAGAGTTAAAGCTGGCAATTCTGAGATTAACAAGACAAAATGATTTACGCATGATTATTTATGCTGCATTTTTCCTGGTTTGCTGGGCAGCTAGTGTTACTTTATTAACTGTTCCACAGAGAAACTGCTAATAGTATATGAGCTGACATTTTTGGAACTGATCCAGTCATCCTTGAGCATGCAGAGTTGTTGCAGAAGTAAGATATTCACAGTGGAATGATAAGTGCGAGTTCTGGGTATGTATATAATGTGTGAACATAAGGAAATGGTTCCTGCAAGAAGGGAATTTCAGTTCTTTGGTCTTCAGTGACTTCTCATCACTTACGTTTTTTAATTCGAAACAATGACTTTCTTTGTTTTGTCTTGGAAATTCTATTTGCTCCTGCTGCAATTTCAAATGGATGAATTTCAGAGTGCTTTTCAGGGAGCCTCATGGATCTTAAATGTTGGTAGATTTGTTGACTGTGGAACCAATTGTTGACACTGGTTTCTTTGGTCTGCTTGAGGAACTTCATTTTGCTGCAGTGAAGTAATGAAGTCCATTCAAATGTCCCCAGATCTGTAGGAACTTAACTGGCATATAATGATTTGCAGGTTACAGAGTATGTTTCACTTAAAGCTTGCTTTTTTTATATAATTAATATTCTGTAGTTAGATTTACGTAATATCCACTGAGTTATGGAATAAGTAATTTGCTGCAGATGGTTTGGCAGATTAATTGTAGAGTCGGGAATAGAATTTCTTGTTCAAGACTACTGGGAAACATCTCCTCAAAGATAGCATCTTTGTGTCTGCTGTTTTGGGTTATTTTGTTTATTATAGATTTCACCCGTATAAAAATAATAATCTTCGAAACATAACAGTATCAGCTGCTGTGATATCAGTGATACGTATTTTTAGTAACAGAACGTCTTAGAAGTGTTACCAATGCCAGTATTTTGTTTCACTCAGTAGTTTATTCATTGGTTTTAGCAGAAGAAAACTCTTGGTTTCATAGGTGTCTGTAGAGTTTTACCTATTTTTCAGCATCATAGTTTACAGCTTGGAAGCTATTTTTGTAAGAAATAAACTGTTTTAAACACGACCATGATCAGATTTAGTGTAGGGTGTATCACTTCCCCCTTGGCCCCATAACTGATTCTAACTTCGTTTAGTAAATTCAACTTACCCGAGACCTAGCTTCCAAAAGGAACCATGCTTTGGATTGTCTTTCTACTCAGCTAATGCTGCGGTTCATAAAATGAACTGTATATAATACTACTGAATAGATGTAGTATGATAATGATATTATATATAGTATCAGAGCTAACTAACTCCCACCAACACGACACACACATGTGCACACAGACCCTACTCACATTCTTGAGACATAAAGGTATACCAGCAGCTAATGGTCAAGGAAAGAAAAGTGTGATAATAAAAAAAGACTATATTTCTACTGTGTGTGTACAACAGAACTGCAGAAGGTTAAACTTTATGAAACGCATTTTTAATTAGAACTTGTTTCTGTGAGGCTGTGTTCCACCTGCTGCCCCTGCTATAATCATTAACTGGTAGCAACTTACTCTTGGAGGTATTTGTAGTTTTTCAGGCTGCTTTGGTACTCAGTGTAAACTTCTCTTCCCAGATAATCTCTTGGGAATTTCCTGGGTTGACAGCTCCTGGATTCCAATATTAAACAATGGGAGTGTGTTGGACTATTTCTCAGAGCGAAGCAACCCATTCTATGACCGAACGTGTAACAATGAAGTCGTCAAAATGCAGCGGATGACCTTGGACCATCTGAAGTAAGTTATAGTTTGGAACTGCCTCCTGTGCAGTGTCCTCTGTCCCTCCACCCAGAGGCTTTGATGGCTGAGTGGAAGCATGCTGGAAACCTCCCTCTGTTCTGTGCTTTTTAATCCCACTGCTTGCCAGGGAGCCCAGCTTTTTTTGTATTTGGATGTCTTCTACTTCCTCTTATGCCATTTCAAGGAGGTGTTAAGCATGAAGGATTCTATGTATGTTCTGAGATTCCAGTAAATCAGCTTTTAGAAATTTCTCTGAATTAGAAAACTATCTTCTCTCATCCTCCCATCTCAACAGAACCTGAGTGATGGTAATGTAGCTAAACATTTTTCTACTGTGAATAGGGTTTATGTTAGGGGACACTTTGAGTTCATTAGTGGTTTGTGTTTCCATATCCCACTGGCGATGTGCCATAATTAGTATATAATTCCTCCAGAGAGCTGGCTTTTTAGTATGGATAATAAAAGTAGTGAGTGTTGTAAATAAACTGATCACAGATGGTTGTGTAATGAGATTGCAGCATGCGCAAGTTAACTTTCTTTGCAGTTCCCCATCTGCTACACTGAGCACAAGTGAGATGTTGGAGAACTATTTAAAGACTCCACAATATGATAGATAGGGAGTGTGTAAGCTGAGCTGAAAGTTCAATGGTAAAGTCACTTGTGCTCAGATGTGTGTGCAGAGAGGCTTTCACATCAAGCACATGGATGGTCACATCATACACTGGTCCTTTGTTTCTGTGTTTAAATGACATCTCTGTGATGATAGGTTATCTTTTTCGCTATTTATTTGTTTGCTAACATGCTCTACTTAGACGTTGTGTCAGGTGGTTGTAGCTCCCTTTGCTTATGCAGCTAGGTTTTAATAGCTAGCTCAGGAAATCCTATGCTTTTGTTTATTGCACATTACGTAGAAGAGGTTCCAAAGCATCAGAACTTCATCCCTTTACAGCCAGGCCCTATGGTGGCTCTTCACATCCTACAGGTTTTTACTTTGAGGAAGATACTTACTCTGGTTGCTTTTTTTTCAGCCAGATGGTTGGGGTGGAGTACATCCTTCTTCATGCTCAAGAGCCCATTCTCTTCATTATCAGGAAGCAGCAAAGGCAATCTCCAACGCAAGGTAAGGTCACTCAGTTCTGTGCACTGTTGAGAAAGCCAATCATTCAGTCGCCTTTTTCTGGTCCTAATTTGTGTTTAAGCACTTCTGATTGCCCTCTTCTGTCTTGATCTTTAAATAAAAGGGTATTAGGTTCTGTGGTGGGGTGGAGATACTTTGTCTAGCAGAGTGACCTCTAGTGTGCTAATAGCAGGGATTGCCATCTTGTGGTGAAATGTGAAGCGTGCAGTGAGAAAGTGCTGCCCTGTGCTATATTTTGCCATGGGAAATTGGTAGTAGTGTTTATGCCACGTCGTATTTATCTGTTAGGCTATGCAAGATTTTTCATTTTAATTATTTTAATTTAAGGCTAGCGATATTCTTGCTTGGTGCTGATGAGCTTAGTTTAATTTGAGCTAATCGTCTAAAGTGGCTAGTATGTGATTGATTGCTTTATTTTGGAGAACCATGATTCCATTAGTTAGGGAGAGGGATCATTCATGCTTCTATTTGTGTCACATCACTCTTATTCTGCACAATTTCCACCTTCAACTGTGGACTGGTTATACTGCTGAGTAGGATCTTGTCAGTAGAAGACAAGGACCCATGTAAAAAATGACCCTGAGATACCATAAATGCTGCTTGTTCTGGTTATTCTCCCGAGAATGGAGTACTTTGGAATCACGAGTGAATCTTCTGACAACAGCACCACTCCTTCTTAGTGTCGTTGATGAAGTTTACAAGTTTTACATTAAATACCTTAGCTTTTTTTTCCCATTTGCATGCAACTGGCTTCATTATTCCTTTTTAAACTTAAATTTGTTTGTGCATGTGTGATTGACTAAAAAAGTAGCCACATAGTTATTGGACTGTCTTCTGTGTTTACTGCGTGTATATTTAAAATAATTCAGGTTATTTTGGAGTAAGCTTTATGAAAAAGAAATGTAAAAAGAGGTTAATGCTAGTTATTTTTTTAACTTTTTTTTAAGCAACTTAGGCTCTGCAGATACATTTTAGTTTTGTATAGGACTTTGCTTTGTCCAGCAATGCTTATTATTTGCTTATATCGTGTAGTGGCCTCTTTATATTGCAGTTCCATACTGAAAAAGAACTTATGTGATTCCTTCTTTAATAAATTTTTACAAGTTGTTTCTTTAATAAAGGTTTTGAATCTAGCTTTCAAAAAGTGAGTATGGCAATATCATGCAGCCCTTAATTTCCTGTTCTGACTATTTTTAGATCAAAAGCAGAGTTGGGGCTTCCACAATATTTGTGTTCAGACTTGCTGTAATGCAAATATATCTTTGGTGGAACTTAACTGGGACTTGTTTGGTAACATTTTTCCCATTGTGACTGTACAGTTTATGCTAGATACCTTGATTGAATTGCATAGTTCCCTAGCTCAAATGTTATCCATGTGTTTCATTTTATCATAGGACAAATACTGTTGTATTTGAGATGTGAGAATGGGGATGAAATACTAAAATTTAATGAGTTCACAGCTAGTGTCAGAGCTGGTACAGGCCCGTCTTACGACTTCTTTGTGTTTTTCTGTTTGTGTTTTTTTGTTTGTTTGTTTTTTGTTTTTAAAAGTATTTATATTTAAAATTCTTTAAGCCAAGTTTTTGCCTGCTTGAAGGGATTTTGGAAAATCTTTAGATCCAATGATTAGGGAGAGTTACCTGTATAGGAAAGCAGGCTGCTCTGGTATAGAGCTGTGAGACAGTAAAGCGGTTGGTCTGTGTCTTGCTCCACTTCTAAGGAAATGCTGAGAATCCTCTTTCTTTTGAGGAGAAGTGCTGTACTGGCTGTAATATGCACCCAGCTGTCTTGGTCTGTTAATTTAGGCAGCTGTCCAAGCTTCATAAAATGCAAGTACTGGATGAATTGGGTCCTGTCAGTAAAAAGGTTCAGACAGAATGTGTTAATACAGATGGAGGAGATGGGACAAATGTGCACACAGGTAAGAGCCTTAGGAATGCGAAGCGATGGCATCGCTGTGATTTCTGAATTGAAGAATGTTTGTCAGGGTATTATGGAGGCAACTGTGATGTTCCTCTGCAGTGCAGCTCTAATGAAAAAGAATTTTTGAGTAGTCAGTAGGGGTTCCAAATCTGATTTAGCAAATGCCTTTGGAAGGTAATATTTTCTTTGCAGAATGTTATTAATTTAGAAAGGCATGCTCTGCGTGTGCTTAGCTGCCATTTGGTCTGGGAAATCTAGCTAAGAGGACTGTACAAGTTGGAGAAAGCTGACGCCAGAAGAATGAGATCTTATGCTGTTGTGGGTTTCTAGCAATAGCAAGGGCAAGTGGAACTAATTCCAGTGCGGTTCACTTGACTCCTCTTGTGTAGATCTGAAAACACCAACTTCTGTAAGGTCAATTATTTGTTTGCAGTAGGACAGGACTTAAAGCTGATGCTTTTCTATCTGTAAAGCAGACCTTGCTTTTTTTTTTTGCCCCCTTATCAGCCTGTGGCTAAGGTGCAAATAAAGCACCTTGAAGGAAAAGATTAAAAGGAGAAAATTTGGTAATGAGATGAGTATTGCAATTTCTGCTGTTACTACTGAAATTCAGCAACAAATACACAGTCTTCAGCCAGAACTTTAAATTGATTCTGCCTTTTTTTTTCTCCTCCCCACAGTTATTCCATTGGCTGACTACTATATTATTGCTGGAGTGATTTATCAGGCACCGGACTTAGGGTCTGTCATTAACTCCAGAGTTGTAAGTGTTCTGTGCATTTGATGCATACTGGTTTGTATCTGCTTTTACTTTTGGTTGTTCCCCAAGCTGTTTAAATCCCTCCCTCGCTGTTTTGAGGAAAGATCTTGTGTAGTATACAGTAACTTAAAACAAACCCCACTGGTTAATATGCTGTGCATCCCACATGGAAATGAAAGATCCTGGGAGAGTGCGGTATGGTCCAAAAAGTAGGATACATTGTTTAAGGATGAAGAATCGGAATAACTGAAGCTACACAGTTGGTGGAACAGCATGAGGTTTGAATAATAAAAGAAAAATTACGTGACAAATACATATGAAATAATAATTAAATGCATATTCAGTGAAGCTTGCTTTGGAATGTTAATGTTAAGGTAATGTAATATTTCTCTTTAAATGAGTCTTATGTTTTTAAGATGATGTGATATTTCTTTTTAAATTGGATACTCAGGTTTGTTTTGATTTCTTCTGTTCTAGTAAGCTACTGCTTTTGCAAGCTTTTCTCTGTCAGTTTAGAAAAACATTTCAGAAAAGGTCTTGTGAGAACCCGTTAAAGAGATTACATCTTGGTCCAAAGCTAAGCGTCCCAAGTTCCCTTCACAGAGCAAAATGAATATCGAATACTAATTTTAAAATCCCTGCTTTCAAAAATGTATGCTGTATTTTCTCCTTAAATTCTGAACACTGCCTTATGTTCTTGTTCTGAAAGCTCACTGCAGTGCATGGAATTCAGTCTGCGTTTGAAGAAGCTATGTCCTACTGTCGCTATCACCCATCCAAAGGCTACTGGTGGCATTTCAAAGATCAAGAAGAACGAGGTATGATTTATGGTTGCTCCTGTGTACTTTGGGAGAGGGAAGGTAATGTAGGGAAGAGCTTGAGACAGTGCACGGTGATGGCGTAAAGATAAGGTTAAGTGGCTGTCTTTTGGAAGGGTAAGTTAGTGATCTCTAAGGAGTATTGCTCTTCTGTGCTGGTGGGCATGAACATTGAGGCATGGGTGGGAGATGAAAATGGTGAGCTGTGTGTCAACAAAGTGTGCAACTCTTCAACCCACTGGAGACCAAAGCACGTTTTCAGAAGCCAAACCAGTTTGTCAGGAAGTAAGAAGGAGGTTCATCAGGAGGTCCTTAATATGTCTTCCACACAAAAAATAACTGATGTCAAAGGGAAAATGTAGATGATATTTGGAGATGAATACCAACTTGTCAAACAACAAAGAGCTGCTAAGAGAACAGAACTTTTAACACATCTTTCTCTTACATTTCTGTAACTTGCAGAGAAAGCTAAACCAAAAGCCAAGAAGAAAGAAGAACCAAGTTCTATTTTCCAAAGGCAACGGGTAGATGCTTTGCTTTTAGACCTAAGACAAAAGTTTCCACCCAGATTTGTTCAGGTATGACGCTTATAAGCCATAGTATTACTGTAACTTACTTAGAACTTAAGGCAGTCATAAATACTTGACCAGCTGAAGCTGAATTGGAATTTTGTGTGCTTTCTGCAATGGTAATGTGGATTAGATAATAAATTTTAAATGGAAGGCTCTGATTGCAGTGTAGGATTTCCCTTTGTAATTGTGGGAGTCATTAAGACCTTGGCAAAACTTTGAGGGGGAATTTTATTATACAGATTCCTTATCTAATCACAGAGGGTCTGTTCTTGTCAGCTATCAGATTTTGCTGCTGCTTCCAGTTTCCTGCTTTGTGAACTCAATTGAGCCCCTACAGCTATTTTGTTTTAGTTACTCCATTGTTCTGGAGGCTCATTAATTAACGTGGAAATTCTTGACATTCTGTGAAGTTGTGATTACCTCTGGTGAAACAAATGGCTGCTAGAGACAAGCAGGTCTTCTGCTTGGGAGCAAAGGAAATTATGTTCAGCATCTCACAAAACTGTTTACTCCTTAGATGTAGGAAAAAACGGCTAACTGCTTATTCTTTTGTTTTAGTGCTTTCCAGTTGTCAGAGGAAAAACTGGATGTTAAAATAGTTGCATTTTGTTTAAAGTGTATTTAGTGATCTTACGTATGACAGTTCATTGTTTGGTTTATGTTCCAAATGAATAGTAGGAAGGGTTAAGAACTATGTCTTCGGTTTCATTGATTTTTTTTTTTTTTTTTTCCTTCCCCACAGCAAAAGCCTGGAGAAAAGCCTATCCCAGGTAAAACTCTAATCTTCTCACATGACTTAAAAAATATGCTATATATAGTAGAGTCTTCCAGTTGCCATATAAGCTCCTTGCTGCTGCCACTGAGGTGATTAGGAGTTCTGGCATTGCCTAATTGTGCAAAGGACTAGGTAAGAGCAAAGTACTAGATAAGAGTTCTCTGTGACAGCCAGAGTGAAATTGAAAAAATGTGTGTTTACTCTCCTGCCCTTTCTATCTGCAAAACTGAAGGTCCAAATGCAAGGAAATGGCCTTTGAAAGCAGGAGTTGGGTGAAGGGGTGAATGAGGGAACAGTTTAGCCAGTCCAGCATCTTAGTGATTTTGCATGGTGCTGCAAGCTCAAGGAAGCATATGAAGGCTTTGAGTTGATCATAAGCAACCTCAAAACAGGAAAAGCGTGAACTGTATCTCTTCAATCTGTTCCACTTTTTCACCTGTATAGGTATGAATTTAGACCTTAGTTATTCTTGTACCTTTGAACTTAATTTTGCCCCTTAGAAAATACTGTTGATGTCAAAGTACTCTGAACAGTATTTTAGGAATAAAAATTGGAGCTTTAACTTTGTTTTGCTGTTACTTCTTAAGTGGATCAAATCAAGAAGGAACCAGAACCAGCCCCTGAAGCTGTCAAGCCAGAGGAAAAAGAGACTGTAAAGAATGCTCAGCAGAGTGCTGGTGCTAAAGGACCACCTGAAAAACGGATGAGACTCCAGTGATGGGAGAAGTTGTTACACATCTGGATTAGTCAGTACCTGGAAAACAGGAGATTCTTAGTCTCCTTTCTTTATATTTAAGATCTTCCACTGAGACTGACAATGCAGGGACTGAAGTAGTCACCAGACCAGCTTTTTCTGTAGAAACCTGTCACGCAAATGTTAATGTCAAGATGTGAGCTGCCTCAAAGAAGGTGTTTTCAGTCTTCTTGTTTTGAATGTTGGCTTCTGAGAATGGCTTTTACATGGACATATTTTGCAGCCTCCTGAAATCTTTACAAACTCTTGCATCCCTTGTGTCTTGGTTTTCTACATAAAAAAAAAAAAAACAACTTTTCTATAAAAAAAAAAACCTGAATTCTTGGCAAATAAAAAACTCATGGCTGCTGGAATGCCTTTCTTAAATGCTTACTTTGTTAGCAGCAAATATGCTGTATGTGCTGGCAGCATTTTTTTTGCTTGGATATTGGAATATACTGTGTGCTATTTTGAGAAAGAAAAGTTCAACTAAAGGATTTAGGCTGCCTGCTATAAATTCCTGTGCCTTCAGTATGCTTGGGATACAGATAAAAGATTTGATAACTGGAGGCTCAAATCCATGTAATTAGATATCAGACTGCTCTCAGTCTCCAAATGTTCTTGGGCACTTATTTTATTTAATGGTTAAGCTGGTCTTTCATAATAAAAAAGCTGGTGTTCTGTGAGAGATTTATGACAACATAAAACAGGCCAGAATGTTTTGCTATTGCATACTCGGTGAAGCTGTTTATATTTCTTCTTTTTTCACTGTAACTCAAATATATCAATTACATCTCTTTTTCAGTGCTTCTAGCACTTTCTTGCTGCATCTGATCACCTTGTTTAGTCGTCGGCCTTCTAGACTTGAGGAGGCAGGGCAGTGGAAGAGAAACATCACTGACAGCTATACACTCTGCTATTTAAGCATGTTGCCTACACAAACAATTTTTTTTTTTTTTCCAAAAAATTAGAAGTCATCCATTGCAAAGAAATTACTATTTATTTGGGTTTGTTTTTTCACTGAAATAATGGAGCAATCCTTGAAATAGCTTGTTTTCTTTTCATGACTTACCTGCTTTCTTTTCTTACCACAGTAAGCAAGAAAAAGGTCTGTACATAGCAAACAAAATGTAAATAGGAAGGAAGGCTAAGATGTGCTTAGATAGCTGCGTCAAATTTATTTTGAGGTTATAAGAGACTATTTATGTTTCAGTAACTAATAAACAGCTCTGACTAGGTAGCTATGGAATGATGCAAAGACCTATGTAATTTTTGTCTTGTAATCCAAAGTTACAACTTTAGAGAGGTAGATACAGACGTAAAATTCATATATTGCTGTACTTAAGGGTCATGTTTGAACAGCTATTTCTCCAGATGTTGATAGAAGTAGGTAATAAGCTAATGTGAACTCTTATATCAAGTGAAGATACAGAAAGCAGTTATTCTGGGATACTCAAAACAAGACAGAGCTAATTATTCAGAATTGAATAATTACAAGGTAGTGTGAATACACTTAGAACAAAAGGGTGTTGATTCTTTCTTGTATTAAATTCCTCTGAAAGCAAGGAGCTCAAGAAGCACCAAAGCCATCATCTTACCCATCCCATGATGGAAAGGGGGATCTCCAGAAATGAGACATGAGTGATGAGGAACCTCAAGAGTCCTTGCTGGATTTTTGATGTCCAGAATAAAGTCCTTGAAAATGGCCATTAAAGGAGCTGAATTTCTCTATAGTTATTTGTATTACTGAGAACCTGTATGTCATTTGGAAAAAAATAAGCAAGAAAGATGACTAGAGTGCACTGTAATGAAGATCTAGGGTGTTTTGTGGTTTGTTTGGGTCTTTTTTTGAGGGAGAAAAATTTACTTAGACACCAAGGAAAGGTTTAACGTTACTAGCAGAAGAAAGGTATCCTGCTTATTGCTGAAGGCACATACATCTTTGTCAAAAATGGATGCTAGAACACATAGTAGGAGAAAGTATTCTATCAGTCACTGGACTTTACCTGAAATAGTGTGTAGTACAGCTCAATGTCTGAAAAAAAAAATTATCCTAAAGTAGAGGGGTTTGAAGAAGGGTGATAAAATGAATAGGAGAAAGTTTCTCATATGAAGCCACTTGGAGGATAAAGACTTTAGTTCCTTAGGGAAAAAAAGGCAAATACTGAGTCTTTATAAAACTGAGTACTGCAAAGCAAGTAGGAAAGCAGAGAACTCTTGTTCTGTCTCAGTACAAAAATAGAGGGACAAGCTAATGAAGCTGAACCGGAGTTACATTTAGACTGAGTTGTTATATTCCATGCTCAGAATTAGGGCTGGCTCAGAGATGAGGGTGGAACTTGAAGGGGCAGACTGTTCTCACGTCTGCATCTCTTAACAGCCTTTTTGCTTTCTGTGGAAATGGTGGCTGGTGTCAGAGAGCATTAAAAAGGATGGACTTCTGATCTGATCCATCTGAGCTAAAGTGCCAGCATCTAAGCTACTGAGAGGATAGAAAATGGCTTCCATGCATGAAACAATGCATTCGAATGTGATAAGCCTCTTCAGGGGAATGATCTTCCTGAGAGAACTGTATAATAAAGCAGTAAAGGATATTACTAATGCGTGCATTAATTTCTTAGTACCTGTCCTTCAATGCTGAAGGTTTACCATATGAGGGACTGAAATATCTTCTGATCCTGTTACTTGCTGAGACGATACTCTAAAATAATTTTATCAGTTAAGTGAGCCTTGATATTAACTTATTTTAGTGATATTATGTCAGATATTACTGTGGAAACTCTAAGTAATTTACTATCGAAAAGCTGTTAAGCATCTATCTTCTAGTCAGTAACGTTTTTCAGGATATGAGAATCTAGGCCTTTTCTCTCTGATGTTTATACACTGTCTCTTGGTTTGGAGAATGAGCTCCAAAGTCCTTCAAAGGACCTTCAGAATTTGTAAAGCTTACAGAACTGCTTGTTTATTTCACTTTCATCTGAAATTTGCCCTGTGTGTCACTTTTGCATAAAGGAGAGATTTGCTTGGACGGGAGAGCTATCTGTACTTTTTGCTCTTAGATAATAACCATTCAGACTTCAAAAGGGCTTTTCTTGGCCTAAATCACGGGGTAGCAGGAGCTAAAAGTGACTTAGAACTCTAATAGAAACATTCTTCTGAGAGCTTGAAAGTACATATAAATGTGTGTATACACATGAACAGATATATATACATGTATATATACACATACATGCAAAAATCTATCCAGACTGTAGGAAGAGGGGCAGTCTAGCTACCTCAATTCACTGTGTAAAGCTACTGGTGTCTCACAGCAGAAATACTGGTTTTTTTCATCTTTTCACTATGTAAGATCTGACCAGGTGATGTGTGCTATTCTTGCCCATTCCTCTCTGCTGCCTCTGCCCCCATACTTAGTATTTTGGTAACCTTTTCATAGCAATGAAAGATGCCGTTTGGGCGGTCTGTATGTGTTGTTTGCCAAAGCAAGCTGTACTTGGAGCAAGGTTAGAAGGGTATGGGGAACAGGAGAGACAAAGCAAAGGGGAGAGATTAGCTTTATTTTGAGACATGGTGGTTCCCTGTGAGAAAAGTGGTGAAGAATTGTTACGCAAATAGACTGTGGCTTCTCTGAACTAACAGATGGCTTCTGAACAAAAGCTGATGTGATACACTTTTTCAATTTTCCTCAATATTTTTTTCAATGGCAAAACAAATGATGATAACTGGGCATTCAAGGTTCAAGACAATTTTTTTTTTTTTGAGAGGAAGGTGAATTTTTGTTAAAGTGTTGCTTTGGTCCTATAACCATGCACAGAACAAATGGATGGTTACTTATATGACAAGTGTCCTTCTGTAGCCTAATGTGGATCATAGATGGGTGAGGAGAAATTTTCCCAGTGGGATGAGTTATGATGTATTATTGATCTCTCAACAATCAGAAGGCTTAATTTCTTTCTGCCAGGACAGTGGATTTCAACCTGTGGTCCCCAAGGCTGCTGGAGTTTTGTGATCTGTGCCTAAAGACTCCACAGAAGGTAAGCGAGAAAAGTAAACCTCTTGCTGGTAGGATTCAATTCCATAGCAGCTTGCACCTTTACTGGAAACTTCAGGGGGCTACAAGATTGAAAAAAAAATGTGAAAACCACTGATGAATTGTGAGAAAGCCAGTTACACCTGCCAAACAAATGTTTCTGCAGTTGAAGTAGCTACAGATTGCTGCAGTATTTTTTCCCTGCTCTACTGTTAAGGTCAGTAATTTTTTTCTTCCAACCTGTTCATTGTCATGTAATGGGAATCTTTCCTTCCCTCCCCTTTGATCTTTACCTGATCCTAGTACAGCAATGCAAGGCTGTGGTAATCTGAACACAACAGTCATGCCTTTTTATGTAAGCTCAGTGCTGAAGGGCTTGCTTAGGTGCTCACCGAGGTGTTGCAACATTATGTTGATACTTCCCCCTAAGAATAACCTGCCATGAGTTCAATGCTGGAACCAGAGTACTTTCTAATCATAACTATATAATTACATTTATATTAAAAGAGAAAGTAAGTAGTAAGCAACTTCTGGGGCAGGGTAAGACATGTCTCTAGGAAGTTGGCAGAGTGATTTAGTAGGGCCTTTTCTATAACTTAAGGAGTGATCACACAGCAGAAGTATGCATTTAAAAATAGTGCCACAGACACTGCACACAAAGATTATGTAACAGGATTTTTCTATTATAGTTACTGTGGTCTGAGTTATATTTGTTTCAAAAGACATAATCTGACATAATTCACAGCCTTGGAATGCAAAACTGATACTTGAAAAACAGTGGACAATTATTCAGCAACTTAACTGCCCAGAAAAGACTTCACAGAAAATAGTCTCTGTAATTTTAAAATTCAAACCAGTAAGAAAATAAATCTAAGGTAATGGGTCATGAGTAAGCTCTCTTTTCCGAGTGTTCTGCAAGCACAAACCTTTAGAAAGGCCCTGATGTGGGAAAACAGCTGTTGCATCAGGGATGACTGTAATTAAGGCACATCGCTGTAGGTATGTAGCAGCTGTGGTGTAGATAGGCTTTATGCTTTTATACTCGGTGCGGTTAGTTTTTCTGTATATTATTGAATATAGTAGAAGTGAATTTCTCCCTGGTTCTACCTTTTATTTATTTTTTTTTTCTTGGGGGAGGTGTGTGTATAGCTGTAGTAAGGTACATGCAAAGAAAGGGCACAAGGGAGTGCTATGTCCTAGTAACCAGCTAGGACACTAGTATTTCTGTACTTTTTCATGTCAGACTCTAAGCTTTTCCATATATTCGACTTGAAATAGTCTGTTCCTGATCTCCAGTCGCAAATAATCCTTTAATTAAAAAAAAAAAAAAGTGAACAAAGCAAAAGCCAGCCTTTGAGCTATTAAAACAGATTTTTCCTCCTTGGGGTCTAACCAAATGATCCTTTTGCTCAACACAAACATCCATGAGAAGGAGTATGAAGCTGAGCTGGGCCCCTCCTTGCTTTAGTCTGCTCAGGAGAAACGCCCATTAATTTGAAAATGAAGACTATAAAAAGCTGGGCACGTGCTTGTGGTAGGGTAATTTATTTGTTTCTTGCCACAAGAGCCTCCATACACGCTCAGAGAGCAGGGGCTGGATGTCCGGAGCCCCCCGAGATGTACCCACAGGCAGCAGGGCGCCGTTTCCTTGGGGGGGGGGGGGGAGGCAAAGGGGGGCCGCGATGCCGCTGCTCCTCCCCGCCGAGGGGCAGTTGGAGGCCTCGGGGTGGTTGTTCTGACCCCCCACTGCCGGGCAGGGCCCTTCCAGGCGCCATCCCCTCACAGAGCGGGGCGTGGGGCGGCGGCCATGGGGGCACTGCTGGGGCTGCTGGCGCTGCTGGGCCTGGCGGGGTGCCCTGCCGCCCCCCGGGACGCGCCGGGGGAGCTGCGTGTCGCGGCCACCTGGGTGACGGTGCCGCGGCAGTTGAGCCCCCGGGCCGACACCAGCCCCCCGGCCGTGTCCTACTGGCTGGAGGTAGCGGGGCGGCCGCGGGTGCTGCGCCTGCGGCCCAGGAGGGGCCTGGTCTCCCGCCCCTTCACCTTGGTCACCTACGGCAAGGACGGGGCCCGCTGGGAGGAGCACCCCTTCGTGCAGGACAACTGCTTCTACCAGGGCGAGGTGCAGGGGAGCCCCGGCTCCTTGGTGGCCCTCGGCACCTGCGGCAGGGGCCTCCACGGCGTGTTCTGGGTGGAGGATGGCACCTACGAGATCGAGCCCATCCCCGACGATCCGGCCTTCCGGCACATCCTCTACCGCATGGAGGAAGCCGGCAACCCCGCTGGCCCCACCTGCGGGCTGACCCCGGAGGAGCTGCAGCACCAAAGGGCTTTGCTGCCTTGGTTCGAGGTCCCCCGGGTGGAGGACGGGGAGAAGATGCTGAATGACTGGTGGACGCATGTCAGGTACGTGAAGATAGTCGTGGTCGTGGACAACGTGCGGTTCGTGAAGTCAGGCAGGAACGAATCCGAAGTCTTGAGACAAGTCATAGAAATCATCAACATTGGGGACTCTCTGTACGAACAGCTTTCTGTTCGGCTCTTTCTCGTGGGGCTGGAGATCTGGACCAAAAGCAACCTTATAAACATTACTAACTCTGTCAACAACGCACTTGACGACTTTAACAAATGGCGGAAGTCAGACCTGTCTCCACGGATGCGCCACGATACCGCTCACTTATTTGCATTTCAGAGCTTTGGAAATAGCCTGGGATTGGCATTTCTAGGGTCTGTGTGTAATAAGCACTGGTCAGCAGCAGTTGCTTCCTTCACTGATAGGAGGCTGTCCTCATTTATTACGACCTTTGTGCATGAGCTGGGCCATACTCTTGGGATGCGCCATGATGGAAAGGGCTGTAAATGCAGACGAAAGAGATGCATTATGTACGAAAGTGCTGTTGACACTGATGCGTTCAGCGACTGCAGTTACAAAGACTACTTTGACCTGCTTGGGCGTGGTGCCACCTGCATTAGTCAACCGCCAGCACCGGGCACCTTCTATACTATGAAGCGTGAATACTGTGGGAATAAGATAGTAGAAAGCGGAGAGCAGTGTGACTGTGGTTCAGACTCAAACTGCAGAAAGGATCCTTGTTGTCACCCGAACTGTACATTTACTGCAGGTTCAGTCTGTGCTTCTGGAAAATGCTGCAAGAGCTGTCAGGTCCTGCCAGCAGGAACGCTCTGCAGAGCAAGTACTGGTGACTGTGACCTGCCAGAGTACTGCAATGGGACTTCCCCTCGGTGCCCGCTGGATGTGTACGTACAAGATGGAACCCCTTGCAAAGACAGTGCTTATTGCTATCGAGGAAAATGTCCTTCCCACAGGAAACTCTGCCAGCATCTCTTTGGCAAACAAGCCAGGGCTGCTCCTTTAGAATGCTTCAAAGCCGTGAATACTCGAGGTGACCGGTTTGGGAATTGTGGTATTCGTAACAATATCCATTTTACAAAATGCAGGATTGAGAATGTCTTATGTGGTAGGATCCAGTGTGAAAACATACACAAGTTGCCTTTCTTGCAGAACCACGTAACTCTAGTCCAAACCCCTGTTGGAGATAAAAAGTGTTGGGGTTTCGACTACCATGTAGGGATACCAGTAGCTGATGTAGGAGCTGTGGAAGAAGGCACGCCATGTGGTAGTGATATGCTTTGTATCAACAAGACATGTACCAGCGTATCACTGCTGAACTATGACTGTAACATGACAAAGTGTCATGACAGAGGAGTGTGTAACAATCGTAAGAACTGTCACTGCAGGTATGGCTGGGCTCCTCCGTATTGTGAATGGGAAGGATTTGGAGGTAGCGTTGACAGTGGACCCCCTCCACCTAGGAAGATTTTTCAGACAGCAAAAATAGGACTAGCAATATTTAGTCTTCTCTTTCTCTGTATCCTTGGAGTAACCGTTATCGTACGTTATAAACGTGAAATAGTGGGATGGCTTAGGAGGAAAAAGGCCCATTTATGCAGAAGAAGATAGCAGTTGTTTCAAATACGAGAAGGGCCAGCAGTTCCTGAAGGAGATCACCTGCTAGTGAGTGAAAATCTACCACAAAGCACTTGCAGAAGACCAACAAGCAGTAACTCTGGATGCTCCTGAGGAAATCTTCCGAGCAGAGCCAGCTGATAACTCATCAGAATGATTCAACACATTCTGAATAGTTCTAATCTCATGTGATATTGTTAAACGCAGAGTAAATGTTATCTTTGTTTATTTTAAGTTAATAAATGCAGGCAGTACGGCATGCTGTTCTTTGCACCTTGAGCTCTTAAGCTGAAGTAGTTAGGTAAACTGTAGGTATGGCTTTTATGCTTCATATCAACAGTTTACAAATGTAAACATCTTGAAACAGGTGTAAATACATTATTTTCTCCAATTTACTCCTTCATCTAATGCTTTCTTCAATTCAGGGAGAGAGATGGTAAGTGAACATCTTGCTTCTGTCATTCATTAATAACCAAAGAGAAAGAATTGCTCTTGCAGTCTCCATTTGATTCACATTGGTGACACACAAGCAGGCAAGAGACCCATACTGCAGTGAGATGCGGGTGTCTGTGGCATAAGCCCTTGCAACTGTTTCCAGGGTGTATCCCTTCAGGAGGGAGGCAGATCAGAGGGAACAGAGTCTTCATTTTGTGGGACAGTGGAGAAGTATTACCCGGATCACACCTGTAAGCATTACATTTCTGAACCATCAGAATGTCAATGTAGTGACACCAAACCTGACATCTCACAAGAATAACTTGTCTTTTTTTTCTGGAAACTTTGCAGTGCCTTGACTGCTGTGTTCTTCTGAGGAGTGCAGTGTATTTTATTGTCACTAAGAGGAGCTACCTGTGAGGTTGCACAAGTTAACCGAATTTCTAAAATACTTGGAACTATTCTGCAAGTCTCTCACCACCCTGAAATCCTGCAATATTTGATAGATGGTTTATTTAACTATCTCAGGGGAGTTCTCTTGGTTTAGTATGTGATTGCTTCTTAAGCTGAATGCGTCCTTGCAGCTCTACAGAGTGCCACACAGAAACATTGCATTTTTAATTTTTTAGTATGAGATAAAATATGTCTAACATGAAAAAATACAAGGGATGTGGAAATACCATTCAGTAAGTTTTATTATTTATATTATAGTAGTGACTAGGTCTTTCAACCAGAGGAGTCTGTAGTGTAGGTTCACAGTGAAAACTTTAAAGGACTGGTGTTTCTAGATTAAGGGATACAATGCACTTGTCTGCTTCCAAAAGAATTATTTGTATTTGGAAAGCAAAGACCACATTTTTAGCAAACATTCTTTAAAGATAGGGTGAGTACCCCAACACTTGTAACATTTGGGGAGATGGATGTTGGTCACTCTATAAATGACAACAGTAAAACTTTTGCTGCCTCCCAAGTATCACATTTATTTTTTTAGAATACACATTTTCCTGTACTTTTTGGGGTTTTTTAAATGATTGTGTTCTGCATCCACAAAGGGCTGGTTATGTTATGGTTGGATGTGAAATACAAAGACTGGGATTCACAGTTCTTCATGCCTTTTTGTCTAAAGCAAAAGGGTCCTTAAATTATCTGTATTTATCTGGGGAAAGGAGTCTTGATGCAACATGGATGGTTTTCATTACATGAAGAAAACTTAATCCTGTGTTTACGTCAAGACAGCTGCCCCTTGACTAACACCACAAATTTATTCCTTATAACCAGAGGCCTTTTTTTGGTGGTGTTGGGGAAGAGGGTTTTTGTTTTGTTTTTGTTTGTTATTTCTCTGAGGGGGAAAAAAAAATTTTAATTCAGGTATGAGAAGCAAAGGATATGTGACCAAGGGGGATGTGGATCAGGTGAAAGATGGAGATAAAAAGTAACACAAGCACTACACCCAGCACCTTCCAAGTAACTATGCACAACTGATAAGCATTGGTAGACTTTTTTTATTTTGCTTTTTAAATACATAAGCATCAATGGCAGAAGTCTCAGGCCGCCAGCTTGATGGCCTGCTGTTGTTGATTGATAGTATCCCATAAATTGCTGATCTGCTGAGACCAGAGAAACACTTACAGAATCAGAGAGTTCTTATTTACAGACCTGCATACTGAAGAGAGGTATAAATGAAAGCACAGTTTAGGTTAGAAAGCTTACTTGCAAATGCAGTTTTGGAAGAACAGTAAAATGCTGTAGCTTCCATTTTTCTCTGTGCTTAAAGATAGATCTAAAAAAACCCATGACTTTTAATTGGGAGGAGGGTTTCAGCAAGCTTTAGACAGGAGTATTTCTATATGCTTCTGTTTAGGCCACGTGAGGAAGACAAACATGATTCCCAACAAACCTAGTGTAAGTTTTATAAAATATGTGAGCTCCCTTGACAAGGTTTTTTCCTTGAAAATACTGTTCCTGATTTCACCACAGCAGCAAATAACTTGCTATTTCTGGTGGTTTGTGAGAAATGTCTCACTACTCTGTTGTGGTATGAAGGTGCAAGTCTAAGTTAAGTCCTAATCTTTCTGGTTCCACCCCCCTCTTTTTTTTTTCTCCTAGTTTTAATTGCCTTTTTAAATCTTTTAAATGGATACAAGAACTTGGCTAATGTATAAGGCACTCGAATGTGGAAAAGGCAGCCTCCAAATGCTGCTGCAGCGTCTCCCAAAAGATGCAGATCAGTCTAGTACTGGAAATAGTGCTTGAGGGAAGTGACTGAAGACATGTGAAATGGTCTGTGCCAGTGCAGCAAGGTGTCAAGTCTTAGGAAGCTGTTAACAGGTGGGTGGAGCTGCCTAGGAGTAATCTACAACAATGATTTACATGTTTCTTGTTTGAAATCTCTTCCTGGCTAAACAAGACTTCTAACTGTGGTATTAAGAGTTTTTTGTTTTTTTTTTAATCTCAGACAAATATAAAATTGTTTCTGTTCTAAGCCAAGACTCATCTGTAAAATGCATTAAAACTGCTGCTAAGGAACGCTATTTATCTTCAGGGAGTTTGCCAAGTACTGTATTAGCAGAACCTGAGTTTGGAGGAAAAATAATTGATAGCCATTTGTGAAAGTTTTGCTTTCTAGTCTTCTTAATCATTGGCAAAAAAATAAGTACAGGTATCCAGGGCAACATAAGTGGGAACTGGACTGAAACAGGTGTGAAACTGAATGCTGTGCTTAATGGTTTAAGAGGTCCTGTGATAGACAAGTCATGGTTTTGCTCATCGCTGCAGGTGTAACTGGGCCTTGAATACCTGTTTCCCACCTCTGGAGCAAGTGTTCTAACACTCAGTTTAGCAGTAAGCATTAATGTTGTAGCATTAAGGTGTGTGGCAGGCTCATTCTCTAATCCAGAGGTCCAGCACCCAGACTGCCTCTCCCTCTTAAATTCAGGAATCCAAAAGTGCAGATAATCTTGGAATGAGTGCAGTCAAAAATACTTGTTATCTGTACTGCAGTACTGAACTGACAACTTGGTAGTCTAACAGTGAAGACTGGTCCTGGTCCTCGTTTTCATCAGAAAAACTCCTACAGTGTGTAGATGTTACTGTCTTAATAGTGCCAAGCAGTTAGGTGATTAAATTGCACCGGGCCCTGTTAATTGTTCCCTGTTGTCATTATCTGTATTATCACACTTGCAGCATGTGCCGAGATACATAAGGATAAAGTTTAATAAGGAAACAAACAGGGATAAAATTTGCCTTGCTTTTTCCCAATAATCTGTCGGTTCAAGAACTCCATGAGGTAGAAGAGTCCCAGGTTCAAGTGGCTCCCCTGTTAAGACAGAAAGCTGAACTACTTTGCCTTTTATTGCTAGGTAATTATCTGCTCAGTAGAGTTTTGAGGAAATTTCCCAAATCCCCAAACCGAACACCTCCTACAGGACAGAGTAAAGTATTTACTGTTCCCAGCGGCGGTGGCCGGCACAGCGGTTCTCTCTGTGCTCGCTAGCTGTGGTTCTGAACCAAAGGCTACCGCCGTGTTGTATCGCAGGGTAACAAGGCGTCGGCACGGCCGCTCCCTGCATCGGGCGTTTGCTTCTGCCCGCCCGTCTCTGACCTGCTGTTCAGTTTGGTGCGCGGCCGGCTGAACGGGCGGGGAGAGGGTCACACATCCCACCCTTTTACTGCTACGCCCCCCCCAGCAAACTCTCACCCGCTCCTTCACCTTCACGAGAAACACGCCTGCTGCCTGGGGAGGGAGCGAAGCGGGGCCAGGCAGAGGCGCTGGGCCGGGGCCGGGCAGGAGGACGCGGTGTTGTGCCCCCCAGGCCCCCCGCTCCCCCTCCGCCCCTGCGGCCAGAGCCCGCTCGGGGGGGCGGCCGGCGGGAGAAGCCCCTCTCAGCTCAGCCCCAGCGCCGTCCCGCTCCGCGGGCGCAGCGCTCCCCAGGGCACGGCCGCGGCGAGGGCAGAGGCCGGCGCCGGGCCCCGCCGCTGCTCCCCAGGCCCGGGTGCCCGCGGCGAGCCGATCCGGCGGCGGGGCCCCGGCCCCGGGCGGCGCGGCGCGGCCGCCGACTACAACTCCCAGCGCTCCGCGGCGCGGCCCTGCGGCGGCCGAGGAAACGAAAGCGGGCTGTCCCGGCAGCCGACTTCACCTTCAGGCCGCAGCATGAACGGCAGCGTGGCGGGCGGCGGCGGCGGCTTTTCCGAGGAGGTGATCAGCCTCACCCGCAGACCCTCCGGTAAGGCGGCGGCGGCCGCCCCTCGCCGGGCCCGGGGCGCCTCCCGGGCCGCGGCTGCCGCGCCGAGGCCTGCGGGGGGTGGGGTGGGGGGGGCGGGAGGGTCCCGGCGGCGAGCGCAGGGCCCGCTCCCGGCCCCCACGGCCGCGGCGGGTAACGCTGCTGCGGGAAATGCGCGTGAGCTGCGTGGGGGAGAGCAGGCTGGGCCAGGCTTTGTCTGCGGTGGGAGCCGCGGCTGCGGCTGGTGTCTGGGGTGGAACACCCCGCGTCCGGTTTCCCCAGGGTTCGCCGTTGCCGGCGCGGCTCCTCTTGCTTTGCAGCCAGGTGGCAGGTGCTCACCCCTCAGCCGCGTTGGATACCCCGAATTAGGGGGCTCTTTCTGAAAAATGTTAGTCGGAGTGACCGTACCCTGGACTGTCAAATTCGTGTCAACTGTTCGGGGTAGCACCAGATTGGGCTTTGGGGTTACGAGTGGGAGCAGCACAGGCTGGGAGGGTGGGGGAGCAGGGCAGCCAGCGGGGCACTTGTTTGGCTTTGCTTGTCCTGCCACAGCAGCGTGTGCTCTCGTGGAGGCCTGCAGATGCCTGTCCACCCTCATACTGTTACGGGATTTATGGTGCCATTCAAATCGCGCTGTCAGAAGCGCGGCAAGTGAGCACCAAATGTACGGCTCTGGAGCAAAATACCGGCTCCGAGGAACCGCGGGCTCTAGAGAGGTTTTGGAGCTAGGGCTGTACTTTGGGCTGCGAGGCCTTCTCTTTAATTAAAACAAGCACGAAGGAAAATGTCGCAGCCCTTCTGTCCGCACAACTGCTGGGTGCGGCTGCTGGCTGGCCTTGGCTACGTCCCCGTCCCCCCCCCAGGACCTGCAGCACCCACGTTGTTGGCATATGTGCCATTTTCCTTTCTCCAGGGTGAAGGTTGTGCCTGTGCGGGGCTGGGGTCAGTCCTGGCCCCCATGCCAGCTACTGCAACCTGAAGGGCGAGCCCTCTGCTCCCTCACTTGCCGGAGTGGCCACTGCTCTGAAACCTGCGTAGCCCTGCCTGCACAGCCACCAGCTCAAACTAATGAAGCCATGCTTGTCAGTGACAGTTGCTTGCTAAATGAGGCTGTTTCTGATGGGAAAGCTGTTTCCATACATTTGGGAACCTGAAATTTTGAGGCAGGTGGAGGGGGATGTTGAGAGGTCTTGAATGTGGCCACAGCAGTTTAAATCAGATTACCATGAGCAATATTTGTCCCATTGTTAAGATGGGCTGTGTATTTTTAGAGTCGTTTGACTTGAAGGTCCTATAGCCCCTTATGACCTTGATGCATTTACCATGTGAATTATTATTCATTTTTGTGGAAGGAACAAAATGCTGTTATCTGTAAAGTACAGTGTAATCCCTTAATCTCTCTAATCAGAGTTTTGACTGCAATTTTTTAAAATAGGTCTGATGCTGTACATCTCTGGCAAAAGTTTGCTAAGGAGGTGAATGTATTTACAGTGGCAAAACAGTGTGTGTATATCTTCTTTTTCAAATTTTCTTCTGAAGTACTAGGCTGAAATTAGGCAGAAAAATCTGGTTTTATGGAAAAGTAAGTAACTTAATTGTTTCAATTTGCAATATTGTTCAATCTCTCTTTTCCCAATCATGATTTTTTTAAAATGCCTTTTTGAGTGACTTTTCAAGTTTCAGGAGGGTAAATGAGGCATAGGGAGGGTCAGAAGTTTAGCCTCGAGCCTACTCTTAAAGCTCTGTCATTCCACTTCTGGTCTCTTCTAGACAAGGGATTTAGTGCCATGTGCTCTCTCCTCCTTGCTGCTTTTCTCCCAGTTGTGCTGTATCTCTTTCTATGGCTGCATGAACTGGATGCAGGGAGAATAGCAGAGAGCTCCAGGGATAGTAGGGAAGATATTTTTAGCCAGAGTGGAAGTTTTAAGTGCTGGGGAGGAAAGACATGGTGAAAGAGCCGTGTGAATACTTAACTTTGTGTAGCTGCTTCTTTTTGTCACGAAGATCTGTTCCTATCTCAAGTTGCCTCTGCTGCTGAAAGCTGTGACTTCTGATTATTTTTCCAATCATTGGTGAAAACTTGCAAAATGGATCCTTTTTTTTCATATATATATTTGGGGTTTTTTAAATGTGTGAGAGAGAATAAATGTATTCTGAAACTCTGATTCTTCTTCCTGTTTTTTTTTAATAAGTGTTGATTAAACCTTATACTTTCTGTAGGATTGTTTCCCCCTGTTCCCAGGTTATTGGCTTCATGGCAAATAATTTGTAGGTTTGTGGATTATTTTTTTTATTTTTTAATTTTTTTTTTAGTTCCCATAGAACGGTGTGTTACCATGCACAACTGTCCGTTCTTGGAATAGATATTAGTCTAGGTGAAATGTCAGTGTTTCTTCAGTCTGTTGCTGCTTCCATTTTCTTCCTCATTTCTCTAAATCTGCCAGGAAGGGGAAAGAAAAAAAATAGGCGTGGCGCGACTGCTGTTAATATTTCTTTTCTTCCCAGCTATAGATGCACACTTAAAATAGCATGACTCATCTTGTATATCCTTTGATCTCCTATGACTGATTCAAAATGCTGCTTCCCAGCAGGCACAAAGTGGTTTTACTTTCATTTGCAACTCTCCTTCTCAGTTTCTAGTCCCAACTTTGAGAGCAGGTAAGAAAGAAACAGAAAATAAACCAGACTGGCTGAACGTGGGGAGAATTTGCCTTCAGTTGTTCTTGACAGTAGGTTTTGGATGATTGGTTTATGTCAGAAAAAAAAGGTTTTGTTTTTCTCTATTTACTTTGATTGTATATTTTTATTATTATTATTATTATTATTGATTTTTTTTTTTTTGCATTACAATCCTCTTCTTAGGAAGTCTTTCCCATCCTATGTCACATATTATTATTGACAGAGAAACTTAGCTGCATGTGCAGTGGGGAATGTGCTCTCATAACCTATGGTTTTACAGATTTTGAATTCAGTCTGTTCTTCTGCATTTCTGTGAAACAAGAAGTCTTAATCTTTAACTGAACTTTAATCCAGCAGCTGGTTCCAGCTAGAGATCTGTAATCAAGGCTTACTTTAAAAAACAATATGAAACATAACAAAAATGTGAAGTGGACGTCAGTTCTGTTTAATGTATGTGTATTCCTTCTTGTTTTCCTTTCAATCTGAGAACTTTTGTCTTTGTTTCCTGTTGTGTTTTGAATTCCTGAAACAGAACAAAGTGATTACATACAATATGAAGTAGCTGCCTTGAAGCTTATCTTATTTTTGGAGGTGAAGGATGCCTGTTCCAGCTCCCGAGATGTGGAAGGGGAGCCTTCTGAGCTCTGGGTGCCCTCCAGCTGGTGACACAGCTCTGCTTGCCTGTTTCCTCATCTGTAGACAGGGTCCAATGCTCCTTGCCTTTCCTCACTCTGTTTCCCAGCTCTTGATATGCTTGTCAGGCATGATTTCTTGTTGCTCAAAGGTAATGATTTACCCTAGCCTCCTGTGAAAAGCAGAATGCTTTCCTTTCGTGCTGTGCTGAAGAGGCGTATTCCTGCTGAGGACTGAATCAGCATCTCAGAAATGATGGCCTGTCCCTCAGTATTCCCCAACACCCCCCTGAAAACAGCTCATGGATGCTTTAGGAAATGAAACATCTGGGCCCTCAGGCATTCATTGTCTCTCCTCTGCTTTCAAGGCCAGTTTCATGAGAATAACTTTTCTAGACAGTGATGGTTGGAAAGGATGATGCAGTTTTGTGTGCTGTGAGTTTTAGTATGGTGGAGAAAACAGGACAACGTGGGAGGGTACACTCCCCAACAACAGCAAGAGCGCCTGGAGCTTTGAGCTTTTTCTCATCAGCTTTCTCTTTGGCTTACCTTAGGGCTGGGCTTCAACATTGTTGGTGGGACAGATCAGCAGTACATTTCCAATGACAGCAGCATCTATGTCAGCCGGATCAAAAAGGATGGGGCAGCTTACCTTGATGGCCGATTACAAGAAGGAGATAAAATTTTAGCGGTAAGCCCTTTCTTCTGTCGCCCCGTGTGTTCTTGAAATGCTGTGATCAGCGATGTGATAGAAGATGTAGGTTGGCCATTGCAGTGCACAGAGAGGAAGGATGTGATGAATGCAAATAGATGATGCTGAGCAGATGCCATGGAGGAGCTGCCTTGGGGGTCTGGGGAGAGCTTTGAGCACCAGGGAGATGAGTGCCTCGGTACGTGGGCCCATCTCTTCTGCCTTGATTTGTTTCAGAAGTGCTCCTTGGTGCTGCGGTTGTATTTCCTCAGTGACTTGCTTCCCTAAGGTTTCAGAATCCATCAGACCTTTTCTTGCTCACAGTGGATCATCATTTACACACGTGCAAATAAAGGTCTTCCATCTCCTAAGTTTTCAGTTTTTGACTGATAGTCTGTGATTACTGATCCTTTTGCTCAGGGGCATTTTTTGGCTATAGTACTCCTAGGCCATAAAACTATTTCCATTCACCAGGAACAATACAGGCTGTTTCTCCTTTTTAGAAGAGTGTTTTAAAGTGTCCAAGGTTCAATCTCACTGGTTCTTCAGACAGCTGGCAATCATACAAGACAATACGCTTTACAAAGTGATGAGGGAGGAAGTAGCATCTCCTAGTGTGATATGTGATCTTTTAATACTCCTTGATTTTATTTTATACTTGCTTATTATGTTTCACATGTAATCTTTTTAGCCTCCATAGAGTGCCTTGCACTAGTTGGAGGCTATTATTGATCCAGAAAATGATACTAAGTCAAACGGAGAATATTATTCTCTCTTTTCTTGACAGTTTAATATTTATGTACTTGTGTTTGGGCAGGCTAAATATCAAGAGAAGGGGAAGCACTGGATGTGATCTCAGGGGATACAATTAGGGGTAATGGGAATAAAAAAGAAAAATTAGGATAAATATCATCAGTTAGTGAATGAAATCAAGTAAGTTATAAAAGCTTCTGCCATGAGATAGTATTTCAAATTAAGAAAAATCCTAGCACTTTCAAGTGGATGCCAATGTATATGTAAGTGTTTTGTTTTATTACATCAGTGTGCTTTTAAAGATGTTACAACACTCCTCTTTCAAACAGAAAGGTTTCAGAGGTAGACCAACAGATGGAACAATGTGGGAAAGAGACTCATAATAGTAATTTTGCTGTAGCTGCTCTTTTATTTTCATTAGCTGTCAGAATTACAGCTTTGATTTGTTTCCAGTAAAGCAACAGTGTAAGAAGCTGCTGTTGACACAACTGTCATTTTATATTCTGATTTTGCTTCTAGGTAGTTTTTTTCAGTACCTCTGTGTTTTGGCTTGGAGTTTTTCATGTTATCTATCAACATATGAAAATACATCTGTAGTATGAATGGATGAATATGGATCTTGCTGATTATAATATCAGGCCCCAAATGCAGGATTTTGTGCAAGAAGAAGATCTGTATTGCCTATCTTTCCTATGTTAGTCTGCACCATTGAAAATTTGCCTTTTGCCCTTCAGCAACTGTTTCTCCTTTTCCTTTTTCACTAGGTCAATGGCAGAGACTTGAAGGATCTGCGGCACAAGGATGCTGTGGAACTCTTCAGGAATGCAGGCTATGATGTATCTCTGAAGATTCAGCGCAGGGTATGTTTTACCTGTTTCTTAGGGTTATTTCTGGCTCAGTTTAGACTGGTTTCCATGATTGATAGCTCTCTATTTCATGAGGCAGAAAAATACCATGTTGGGGTAGTTAGTGTGAATTATGCATATAAAGATTTTATTTGAACTATGTCCTTCTCTACTTGACCACAGCTGTAATCATCTGTACATTACTTGTCTGTAACAGCATCAGTGAAGAGGTGAGTTTGGGGAAGTTCCCACATCTCTCTTTTGCTGGACTGTGATGTGTTTTCTCACAGATCTCCATCCTCAGAGGCAAAGGTTTGTCTCTGAAGACAGAATCTCAGGTTCTCCAGTTTTGATTCAGAAGCCAGAATCTTACTGAAGACAAAACTTCCCTCTTGTTTCAGAGGATATCACTCATGTTATCACTGAGATGTGTGTGCAGCCCACTACTGCAAGAAAGACATTGAGGTGCTGGATCGTGTCCAAAGAAGGGCAACGAAGCTGGTGAAGGGTCTAGAGCACAGGTCTTATGAGGAGCAGCTGAGGGAACTGGGGGTGTTTAGCCTGGAGAAAAGGAGGCTGAGGGGAGACCTTATTACTCTCTACAGCAACCAGAAAGGAGGTTGTAGTGAGGTGAGTGTTGGTCTGTTCTCCCAAGTAACAAGTGATAGGACAAGAAGAAATGGCTTCAGGTTGAACCAGGGGAGGTTTAGATTGGACATCAGGAAAAATTTCTTCACCAGAAGGGTTGTCAGGCATTGGAACAGGCTGTCCAGGGAAGCGGTTGAGTCACCATCCCTGGAGGTATTTAAAAAGTGTGTAGATGTGATGCTTAGGGACATGGTGTAGTGGTGGACTTGGCAGTGCTAGGTTTACGGTTGGACTCAATGATCTTAAAGGTAATTTCCAACCTAAACAATTCTACAAATATCTGAAATTTGGGCTGCTGTACTTTAAATTTACTGGCCCCATTTTGAATACAGAAAGAGAGGAATCTGTAATGCGCTGTTGTAATTCGAACGTCCCTGGCTAGCACTGAAGTTGACAAAGGAAATACTGATCAGCCTGCTGGTGGGGAGAGGTCAGTTGAGGCCCCTTTTCTACACCCTTACAAAAGGAGTAAATCTTCTGAACCAGTGTACAGGGCAGGTAAGAAAAACAGAATTAGTGATGCCCTTTTCCTGATAAAGACACCAAGAAATAGCGTGGTTGGAAGTGCCTCAAGGCATGACTGGGTATGTGTGTGTCATTGCTTCTGCTGTATGAGATGTACCCAGCGCCAGCTGTTAGAGTCCTAGATTACAAAGTGTTAGAGGAATGTGAAGGTGCCTGGTAGTGACTGGGTACCCTGCAGTTAAAGCTCAGTCCATCCACAGCTGTTCTAACCCTTCCATGTGTGGAGTGTACAGGTACCTGGGAAACCATCTTGCACAGCCTTACAGAGCCACCAGGTCCTCACACGGAACGGGGGGCTCTCCTGTGATGGGCTCTGACACAAATACTTTTTTTTTTCCTTGTAGTTGCAGCCACAAAATGGCCCTGTGGGTCATCAAGGCGATGGAGAATCAGGTGGGCTTCCTCTAGCAGCCATTCTTGTGCCAGGCCTGGCGCTTGCTGCAGCAGCGGTCTGGATCTTGCTGAGGTATCGACAGCGGATGTGAAGAGTTCACGTTCTGGATATCACTGCGTATTTTACACAGCTATGATGTAATTTAAAGATAGAGAATCAACGATCTTATCACAGACTGATGTCAGAAAGGATCATTGCCTATCATAAAGCTGCTGCTGATGTTCTTTATGTATTGATTTTGTTGTAGGGTGGATGGAAGCAGAGAGGAAAAGGGGAAGGGAGGTGACTGTTCTCATGTATAAAGTGGGATAGCTGTTATCTTGACTAATCGGAGGAGGTTTTGCCATCCTCCTTTATTTTGCACCAGGAACTTTCAAACACACTCAACTATTCTATGTTTTAAGATGTGACTTTTGGTTAAAGGGAGTGGGGGCTGGGGTAGTTTAAAATCAAAAACATTTACTAAAGGCTTTGCCTTATTTCCACTGAATTTTTCTTGAAATTAATGATCCCTGTCTAAACCATGAATAAAGAGAAGCAATGTGGAGGGTATATTATTTTTTCCATTGAATTTTTGTTGGTGGTTGATAATTAAATGCCTTAAGAAAAATGTATAAAATGCAATCTGTGGTTTTGCAGGTAAAATCATCAGTGTAGCTGCTGATCTAACAGTAATATGCAGTACTGGTGAGGTATTCTACTAGTTCTGGAAAGACAGAAGATAATCTGTTGCTAGAAAAAGACTTTGTCAGAATGACTGTTCATTCTTGGGTCGGAATTGTAAGAGAAAGCTTTACACAAAATGCTAGCATACCAGAGAGAGACAGGCAGACAATTGAAACACAAGGATGAGCAGTGGCAAGAGATCTGGGCATGCTGAAGCTGCAGAAGAGTCTTTAAATCAGTAAAGAAGCAATTGTCCCTCCATTTGTCAAGTGGGTTGAAGTCTGTGTCTCTCAGGTTAAAGGTCTGTTTTGGGGTTTATTTTTTGTGTGGGGAATACTATAGATAAAGTTTTCTGTAGCAGCTAACTTGCTCTCTGCAATCAGAAAATCTTACGATGATTGAAAGGGAGAAGCCAAGAGCAGGCTGGGGTTGTCCTGGCTAGTGCTTGTTTGTGAAGACTGATGTGATGTTCAGGAGATAGACTGGCGGGTGCAAGGCAGGGTAAGGCTTAGCCAGTAAAACCAAAGGGAGAGACGCTGGCTCTGGAAAGCATGTTGCTGAATTTACCTGCAGGGTCTCATCTCCTCACTGTGATTTGAATAGTTTTAAATGCCCCAGCTGACATGAGCTCTGTGGGGTAAGACCTGTTTCTCTTGTCTCCAAGAAATCAATGTGTTTTGTTTTTTTTTGTAAAAGAAAAGCAAAATTCATGGTCTGGTCTGTATGATGCCAAAAAAAATCACATATGCAATATATGTATTCAAACAAAGAAAAACTGATGTCTGGACGCTTTACTTATCTATATTCTTTGTTATTCTAGTTGAACACTGCTGATGTATTTGGAATTGTTGTGTGTTTGCTCAGGGCTGTGTTCCTGCTGTCTGCTGGAGATAGAAGTGGTATGCTGTTACACGTGACGTTCCTAAATCACAACGGAGTTTCAGAGCACTGAGACCACATGAAATCTTGCTTTGGCCTATACACTGCTCTAGTGTAAGGGGAAGAGGACACAGCAGGAATTTTGCTCAGTGTTCTTAGGGGACTTTGGGAAGAGACTTGAGGTTTGGTGAATGGGTACTGGTGTTGGATGGCTTGGGCTGATGCACGCAGTGACTTGCCTCGGCCTGCAAACCAGTTACACCTGATGGCAGAAGGGCTGCTGATCGGAGAGATCTTTGCAGATGCAGCATGAACCATCTTGCTTGGCTGTGACCTGCTCTGAGTATCTGGCTGTGGTGTCCACGTGGAGTGTATTAAGATGGATTATGAGAAGTTGATGCCGTTGTATCACAGCCATCAGAATAAAAATGCAGACAGTAAATAAAAGGTCTGTCTGGGACAAACCTCTTGTTAGCCCTTGCCTGAGTCGAGTTTCAGTGAGAGGGAGTATGTGGAACAGGCTAGGAGGATGAGGATTTGGGGGAGTGGTTAGTTTTACTCATTTCCCGTTGAAGTAAGCAGAGAAAGCAAAACCTTTGGTTTTGTTTTTTTGTTTTTTTTTTTCTTTTGGTGGTGTTTTTATCTTTCAGCTTTGGGATTTTGATACAGTTCAGACATGATTGCCACCTGTATTGCAGGCATTTTATTATGGGGGGAGGGTTATATCCAAAGTCCAAATAATTGATGTGACTTACTGAGCAAGAAAAGGCCCTTATGATGCATAGCGTTCCTCTTTTCACAATTACTGAATAATTTTAATACCACAGCATTAATCCAGTGGTTTTTCCAGAAATCTGAATAGTAGTTTTTACTGAGAATTTAAACCATCCAGTGTAACCTTCAGGAACACCTTTCTGTGTCTGCCACCTCCAAACCTCAGTGCCTGAGGAGTAGCAAACAATCCCTTTTCTAGTCCCCAACTGCCTCTTGTCCCATTTATTGACAAAATCCTTGTGGAAAATACACCTGAACCTCAAACTCTCCTATGAGCTGTGGCTCATATTACTTTCTCTCAGGAGCTGGACTGTCTCACCTAATAAACTTTGTGTGTTTTCCAAAGTCTTTTCCACTGTGTGGTTTCTATAGCCTTGAGTTTCATTTTTTACACCAAATGCTGTATATGTCTTTTCTGTCATTGCAGAAGTAGTGAATTAAAAAAACATCTAATGAGGACAGCTTCTAACTGCAAGTGATCAGAGAAAGTTTTAGCTTTTGTTACAACTTAAATGTCTGGGTTTTGAAAAAAAGATAAGCTGAAGTCTCGAAGACAAACATAAAAAAATTCAAACTTACAAATTAAAGTTAGGATGCTTTTTATAAGAACTCGTTTTCCATTAATACTGAGGACAGCTGAAACTCTTAAACCCTCATGTTTCTCTCTCGTTCTCATCTGTTCCCTCAACCTTATTGTGAACTTGCAGACCTGATGAAGCCTGGATTTTCATATCCCTAGTTTAAAGACAAATACATCTAGTTTGACTTCCTGTATATTCTAGGCATATATGTCTCACAGAGTCTCCTGAACTGTATGTGCTAATAACATTTATTTGATTTAGGCATAACAGAGAGAAAGAGCAGCCAGACTTGATCGGAAGATAGGAAGATGCACTACTTTTGGCACTTTTTAATTAAAATAAAAAACTAGAAAGGTGCGTGTGGGAGGGAAAGGTGCCTTGCTTTCAGTTTGCCTTTAGGTTCCAACAACTGGTTTGTTAGGTTGGTCTGTGCTAGATTAAAGAGGCCTCTAATAACTGATAGTCCCTCCCTGTGAGAGGATTTCTGTGTTGTAATTGCCTTCTGTCTCACGTTATTTTAAAGAAATGAAGCCACCTGAACCCTTTAAGATTCTCAGTGTAAGATACTTTCTCTCTTGGAGTAGTTTCTATGGCTTTCTGCACCATTTCCAGTGTTTCTGTATTGCTTTGTAAAACCCAGACACCCCAGCCACATACAGAGTCTCACTACTGAGAATGCCAATGCCGTATACTAGGAGATTTCCATATAATTTTTATCTGAAAACCCTTAAAATTTTTTTGGTGAGGATGCAGACACGTGCAAAGCAAATTTAAGCCAACTTCTAAGTGCTGGCTTTTCTTAAATAACTTACAAGTCTCTTAGAAGTGGTATACAGCTTCCCCCTTCTTCATTTGCTTTCTAAAGCGCCCTAAGGAATCTATAAAACCACAGAGTAAACACCATTGCCACATGAGAGGTAAATTCTCTTATTTCCAGTTTGTAGATCAAAAGAACAATCCTTTTTGGTCATAGTGTGACACCAGAAGCGAGTGTTAAGCGCCTATATATTCTGGCTTCTAAATGCTTGTCCATACCCAATGTGACCTTCATAGTGTGAGTGAAAGCGTCTTGAGTTTGCATGTTGTTGAATGACTGCATCTCCTGTTTGTATTGGCTATGTGCACTGGTTACTCTGCCATGTCTGCTGTATTATCTACCAGTCTGCTATCTCTAGCAGTGCTGGTTTTATCTTCTGCCAGATCATTGGTAAAAATACTGAATGGGGTTTAGTACAGAAACAACTTCCCCCCATGGTTATGATTTTTCAGTAACTGTTGGTATCTCCTGATTATTGGATTATTTTGTCTGTTTAACAGGTGCCTTTTGATAGTGTATAGCATTGATTTTTTTTTTAAAAAACAGGTGTATCAGCATGTTGCACAGCACTAAGTAGATTACATCTGAGTGGTCAGTAAGCTTCATCTGTTCTCTTGCTGGCAGAAGCTGATACAAGGGTAATAATCAGGCCAGGTGAGCTTTATGAGCCAGTCTTCCTCTCATCCTCTTTCCTAATATATTAATGTGGGATGGAAGTAGTTTTCCTCTACTTGGGTTGAAGGAAAGAGCAGATAACTTACTAATGGGACAGTGTCCCACAGCTTGGGGGCCCAAGAGAAGAGTATATGGAGAAGTCTGAAGGAGGGCCATAGCGATACCCTTGTCCTAAGGGTTTTCCTCATTCCTAGCTTTAGGCATCCGTGCTGCTGTGCTCGGTATGTGTCCTGTCTGGAGCTCTGCACTATCTCTCTCCATGTGCAGCTGAGGAGGACTCCAGGCTTTTCAAAGCCTCCTTGAAGAAGGATCCATGCATAATGAGAATATACGCAGGTTTAAATGAAGAGCAATGTTGTGCAGACGCAAAAAGGCTTTCCTTGTCAAGTCTGAAAGCTTTTATCCTTGCTGCTGCAGCTGTGACTGATCACAGGCAAACTTCACTGTAGAGTCTCTTACCTGGCTGCCAAAACCAACTTTCCTAGGCTGGCACTCTTAGTAAAGAAGAGTAATTGTGCTAAGTATGCAGGGTAATTATTCAAAGTGGCATGTGAATGATTTGAGATCGTTCACCAAGCTTTCACACTTGTGTTTGCATTCAAGTCTTCCAGCTGTTTCCCTTTGGTAAAGTTCTCTTCCCTCTCATTCCTCTTCACCACCTCTCAGCAGCCTAGCATTTGTGCCTGGCTTGCATTTTTTGCTGTGACACAAAGGCAATTGTCATAGAAAAATTACTGCTTTTGCTCTGGGTCGGTTGGTACTGATGTTTGTTAATTCAACTGTGTCCCCCTAGTTGCTTTGAACTAGCTATCGGACTTGGTGTTACTTACTCCTTTTCTCTTCCCTTCGGAAATTAATGTTGGCACTTAGTTCTGTGACTGCCCTCCTTCTGGCTGGCTTGCCCAGGTGTCGGATGGCAGATCACCAGAACACCAAGCACAAGCCTCTTCTCTCTCAGGTAGCGGAGACTGTACAGTCAGGGCAGTGAGGGGCTCGGATCAGCTCTGAACTGAGCCCAGAAAGCCCTTAGAGCTTCTCTCTGATTAGGTGGGCACTAGAAGCTCTTGCTGAGTATCAGTACTTTAAGCAGGATGGTCCAGTCTCTACAGCAATAAGGGCTGGATTCCAGTTTTGCGAATGCCTCTGAGGACCCGTGTTGATGTCATGACAACTCCCAGCTCCAGGCTTGTTCTTTTTGCCCTTAAGATGTGTCTGTCTCACCTTTTCAGGTTCCTGATCATGGTGATGCTGGACAAAGAGATGTTTCCAGTTGTTAGAGCGTGGCAATTCACATTAGACCTGTAACCCATCTCTGGCTGTGGGTGGCATGAGCAGGATTGGCAGATCTTAGGGCTCACCAGCCAGACGACTATGTATCCACAACTTGGGAAAGTGCAGCAGAAGTGCAGTTTATGCAAAGCATGTCATTCTTCTGCTGGGACAGAGTTTTTCCAGAGAAAGAAGATAGAAAGTCTAGCAAAGGCAAGCATAGTTTTGGAAAGACAGCTGCGCTTGTGCATAAGAGCAGGGTTGTGTATATATCCGTGGCTAACAACATCTATGGGAAAAGTTTCTGGGAGAGACTTAGAGTGGATGAGAAAAGAAGGGCTGAAGAAGACTTGTTTGTTCTTATTCATAGTGAGAGTGAGTGTGTGAGGGAAGCGTGCTCCTAAAGAAAAGGAAATGAGATTTAAAGGAGATGTGGGCTGGACCTGGTGCAGTAGGACTGCTTGGGCTGCGGTGGAGGAAGTTGGGGAACACAGCTGGGGCTGGCTGATTTAAACACAGCGTTTTGGGGAATGAAGAAGTAGCAGAGTAAGGTATAAGCCATGCTGTTTATTCATCTTTGACACTGCCACCTGCTTCAGCTACTTTAGTCAAACTAGTAAGAAGCACTTGATGAACCATTAGAGTCTACTCTGGATGTTAATAATGTTCATGCGAATAGACTAGAAGCTGTTTCTCTGAATCACTTAAAATGTAGAGTTCATAGATAGTTTTCAAGGTAGATTGCCGACATTAATTGAAGGACGTTACTGTTAAATGGGAAATAGTCTAAATTAGACAGTTCTGGGATTATTTACCATTCATTAGTGCAGGAAAATGATTGGGTTCTTGAAGGTGTTTTTAAGTTTAGAATGATTAAGATACTAGCAATCTGGTGCTAAAAGTTGTTAGCATGGGGATTCCCAAGTGGAACTGGAGACAGTATGAAAGAAATTACTTGATTAACTGGTGGAATATTTGCTGTCTCACTTAAGTACATAGGCTGTATGGGAGTCCAAGCGGAACACATGAAACAATGAGTCTGCAGTCACCCCAAATGGTCTTTTGCATTCATTGCTCCTCAGCATGTTTTAGTAAACTTCTAAATCACTGAAACAAAAAAACATTGAAGGAAAGGGGATAAAAGAATTGTAATATTCAGGGCTTCTTGAACTTCCTTCTTTCTAAATATAGCAAGTATATTACAAAGTTTGGAAAAATAGTTCAGAAATTTAATTTTAAAAGGTGAATAATAATCCATGATTATGTGGATTTTTTTTTTTTCCTTTCATTGTGTAAATAATACTCTTCAGAAGGGTTTCTAGCGAATTTATAGAAGACTTTATGCAGTTCTGCTTATGCTCCCCGACAGGCTGTTGTCAGTCAATGCACAAAAAGGCACGTTGGTCACACACTGGCAGAGATAATACCTTTGGCTGTAAAGTGCTCCTGTACAGGGGAAGCATTCATGTGTCCTAGGCTTTGCCTTGCTGGGGTCGCATGGGAAAGGAGCAGAAGTGAGGCAGCAAGTAAGGCCAGAAGAGGCACAGAGGTTCTGCGGAAGCAGGGTGGGTATCAGTGGGACGTGTGGCAGAGATGCAGCCTGCCTGGCACAGCTGTCCTCCTCTACCCTGGGAGCTCCCCGGCCCCTTCTTCCGAGTCCCTGCAGCGGTGTGGGGCTTCTGAGCCCCAGCGGGGCTGTCACATGCCACGTGGCTGAGCTGCAGCAAGAGTGCTGCAAAACGCCGGTTCATCTGCCTGCCCAGCACTTGAAGATCTCAGTTCAGCAAAGAAATTTCAGTGTCAGGTCCTTTTTGTTAAATTGCTTGATTTTTTTTTTTCCCTAGCAGTGATACCAGTTTTGCTGGTTAACTATAAATCACTGAGTAAGTGTTGCATAGACACTGTCAAGGAATCTGATCAAACTATTAACTTTCTTGTAATGGTAATTAAGAGGGAGTGTTTGAATTTGTACCAAAATTAGACAGTGCAGTGGTTTATGGGCT